CGTTTTCTTCCTATTCTCATGAACATGTCAGTGAGAAAAGGGTAGTGAAAGTAAATACAAACTTAAAGGGATAGAAAGATATATGTTTCACTTGACACATCCACATCGAAAATAGTTTTGGCATCCACTACAGAGAAAAGGACTTGAATTCCAATTTTCTTTACCATTTCACGTTTTTTGATCGGAATTTCGCTACTATATCTTCGATTACTTTCTACGCATTGAATATTGCTGAAATGGTTTCGTACCTTTGAAGCTTCCCAAGGTTATCGTTCGAAATTTACGGGTGTGAGGTGTGACGGCCGCGCTCGCAAAAGCGCCCTTGTCCCACGCGGTGCAAAAACCAAAACGTGCGATGTCGTCAACGTGTTGAATCGCTGCCCCTCCGAAAACAACGGCCACACGTGAGGACCACGCTTTCGCATTTTTCTGACGAATTTGTCCGCTATTGGCGCACTACAAAGTAGCTCCGTCCTCTGCAACCCTTCCAGGACCTTTCGTAATCGTTGCCTTTGAGAACTTCGAGAACAGGCTCATTCAAATAAATTAATGATGACAGTTGTTGGTATTGTTGAAATGCCCCACATCATCGACATCCAATCCATATTTTTTGCGCACTTGCACTTGCCGCCTTTTGCAGAGTCTATATTTAATAGGTTATCCTTTAGTTATCAACTCCTTTAATCTAATCCTTTTCGTTAGAGCCGCAGGGCAGAATGGAGTGGCCCGTCCAACTATTTCCACTGTTGACTAATGACACGTCCACGTTTGACTTTTGATGCTCTCCAATCGGCTGAACAGTTCCATTGTTTACCAGTGATTTATGTTTTGCGTACTTCCAAACTATGCCACGTTTTGAGAATGTGTGTAATGCCTGCCCGTTTATCCAATGTGGAATGATCCCACTGTTTGTGCAGAGAGAATAGAAATCTTCAGAGCTCCGCTTCAGATAGTCCAGAACATCTCACCACTGTAAACACAAAGGCATGAGGGAAAGGCAACAAAGTGTCCAACAATGCAACCGATCCAAGCGAACGCCATTTTCACAATCCAAGGGAGAGTGCCAGGAATAACAGCCCCAGCAGTTCTGTTGCAAATCCTTGAAATTGTTGCGCGTGGAAAAGTCCAGAATGGTGAAGGTGTGTGGTGTATGGTTCTAGACAATTATATTCAGAATTCCGTGCAAAACATTGACATTCCAAAAAAAGCCTTCGGAAAACCTTACTTCATGAACACCTGATAGCGTAGGGTCAAGAAGACCTTGATGACGAAAACCCATATAAGTCCGCGAGTATACGATGTGTCCCGAAAGTATCAGTTCACGCTATTTCGGAAGAAGTGAAAAACTTTGTTTCGGTCTGCTGCGTTACACCCTCTCAGTCCTATCTGACGTTACTGACCCCAATGAGTACGATCTCCCCCATGACCCACCCTGACAAATACGACCCCTCCTGTCGAGATTTTCCTCCACCGACATTCACCCTGCAGTGAGCACAGGAGGTCAGCGTGAATTAGGATATTCCTGCCGCAGTCACGTACAATGCGCGACGCGTTGACGCGCTGAGGCGTGTCATCAATTTTCATATGTGCTCGAATCCCACTTCTCGTTTTCTCTGCATTTTCTCAGCGACTGCGTCAAGCAAACTCACCAACTATCCGCCGCACAGGCGGCGAGGCGGACACCGGCAGCGCCCGTCCATTTCCAGCATCGTTGCCCTGGGGAGCTGGGGAAGCCTCATTTTTGCATAACGTGTAAGATTCCTACTCCAGAAAGCGCGTCAATGCGTCGTACATTGTACGTGACTGATGTTTTTATATGCTTCTGTACGTGGCAGGAACATACTAATCCACGGTGACTTCTGGTGCTTACTGTGTCCAAACGGCTCATGTCACTTCGTGACAGCGTGGGACAGCCGCGATTTAGTGGGCAAACCTTCTCACCTCTCTTCTGAGGGTTCGAGTAGTAAGTGCGCAAAACAGTGGATCATGCAGGGTTGTTCCAGCATGAATGACAAAAAGCTATCTAAGCATGAATATTACCAGAGTAATTTCAACAACTTCAAACAATTTTCGTTTTCAAAAAAAGGTTTTGAAAAATTGAAATTACGGCACTAATGCACTAGCAACCCCAGAAGGAGCAAGATACGTCAATTTTTTTGCTGAGGCTTATGGGAGGAGAGTTATGAAGCGTCATAGCGTCGTAATCACTATTTGATTCTCCAGAACCCCCCCCCCATTATTTGGGACCCTGATTACGAACATGACACTTGTTTTAACGTTGGCGTATTCGGCGCCTATTTCCTGCTCGTCTGCGCCCTCGCACTAATTAGATCGCAATCAGGACTAAGCCTTTGAATAGTGGAGGGCTCCAAAGTGAGTAGGCCACTCCCCTGTGGTCTATACACTCCAACTTTTGCCACACGTGCGTGGTTTACCCACTCCGGAGTCCCACCTAACTCCACTCAGCCTTAGGCGCTATGCGCTAGCCCAGGAGTGCAGAAAATAGGCGGTAATCAGCACGAATGTCGTAAACGAATGTTACTTTCATAATCAGGGACCCCAAGTAACCCCCATGCACAAGTTTACAGGGAAATCAGTGAAAAGGCTATGGCGCCAACAGCAAAAATGGATGTCATATTCGTGATGAGGAGCCTCGACAACCCCCATAGGAGACGTTTGCTTTTTCGACTCCTCACCTCACCATAACCGGGTTGTAATAGTGCAACAGTGCTGACACTACTCTTAGTTAGGGCAACCTAATGTTTGCGATTCATGAAAACAAATCGAAAATCAGGCAAGAAGTGAGAGCAGAAGCCATAAAGGGCATGGCGCATTAGAAAGGTGTGCACCTACTTATCAAAATCGCAGCGGTCAAGCAAAGTCATTTGCTCCCTTATCGCACACTTTCGACGTTAAAATATCACCACCACTGTGGTTAGGACTCCGCTATTTCAATTGAGATGGAATTTTTATAAAGATCTATTGCGACATCTGCCTTTGAATCAAAGTGAGAACTGCACGTACGGTGCGCCAAAGTTCGTTCATGACTTACAATATTCAAAACGTTGATGAATACATATAAAGGCGTATCAGCTCTTGGTAACTGGTAGCGGGATGTGATGTGCAGTGGTTTGGTAACAGAGAGCTATGTGTTATTTGAGAATTTTGAGCAAAAAATGAAATTCAGGTGAAAAATGTTGATGGAAAACTTCACCTTTTGAATAGCCGGTGGTGGGATGAGCGGATCCAAAGGGTGCAGTGAAGAAGTGCATGATCCACTCCATCTTGTGGAAGAGTTGAGAGTTAACGCGTAACTAGAAGGAGTAAACGTGTTGAACGTTCATGCTCACACGTCTACACGTGAGAGTTTCACGTTATAACGTTCTGTAAGTTGTTCAGTCGGCAAACGACGTCTAGCGGATTTCTGGGTGACGAAACACCAGGAAACACAGGAAATGTCGTCGCTAGCATTCGTGACAGTTTTGTGCCGAAAATAAAACATGCTGCGCAGAAGTTCTGCGCGCGCATATTCAAATATTTTTCCACCAGCACGTGCATGGTCATGTGCTAGACTTCATCGTACATGCTCAATTCCCCACTTATTGGAGGTGAATGCTGTTAAAACGTGTTGGTGTTCATATGTGGAACAGCATATCTGATTAGAACTTTAGAATCTACTCTACACTTTTTCGACTCACCATTCCTATACTAGTCATAACTTACAGTTCTTGCGATAAACTTACAGTTTTGTCAATAGCAGTTTCAACATAATGAGCACTCCCTGATTCCAAGCAGGGTTCGAGAAGGCGGAAGTTGCATTGTAATTTTTTCATCATTTCTCGCAATTTCACCACATCGTTTTCAGGTTGTTCAAGTTGCGGTCTTTACCTAAGCGGTCGCGAGTTATGCCAAAACTGCTAAACTAGCATACACTTATGCTTTTGGGTAGGATGCTAGTCCAGGAGGAACGTTTGCTCAAGCAGAAGCAGAAAACGTTCCGTTTCACCCAAATGCACATCCATTCAAAAACAATGTACCTTTCTCTGTGAATCAGTTAGCTTTCACACGTTTTTTCTCGATTATGATGTGCACGTGATGTTGACTAACTAATTCAATAAATATTCGATTAGGTTTCTTTTTAACCATATCAAGTTTTCCGTGTAGATCTCGAAGATGTCAGTTCTCAAATACTGGTATGCGAATATAGCGGACGCTTCTTTGTCACTAAAATAATGACAAGGAGGTGCCTCATCGAGATAGTGAACTTCTTTCACTCCACTACAGTGATACATCAGAAACAAAAAATTGACAAATTCTACAGAGTGCAACAAATCGTTCAATTGACGAGCAAGGCGTGCGTTGCTAAAACTTGGGTGGGCAGAAAATTCAAAAATCCAAGCACCGCTTGCAATTCACAGAATTCGACACCATAAAATGGTTTAGCATAGAAGTAAAGTGTCCGTTCTAGCGTATAGGAGTGAAATCCCGGTGCACAAAGCCCAAGAAGCATTCTAAGTTTTGGCGAAGACTTCAAAACGAATAAGAGAAAGAAGCATCTGCCTGACGCGATATTCGTCCAACCATCGTTCAGATTGGTCTGCTTTCGTGTCCAATCTCTAGCCCTCTTTAACCCATTGGCAACTGTTGAGACTTAGCATGTCTAAAATTTTTGCTGATCGCTGAAAAATGAGCGTAAACCATTTCGTTTCGTGGATTTCGCGGCGAGTCGGAAACTTTTCAATTTTCTTTTCTAAAACTCGTAGATTGAATCGATTCCGGATGTTTTTTGTGAAAAGTTGTATCACACCTCTAGCTAATGAAAAGCGAAAAGCCAGCCTCAACATCTAAAAATAGGAAGCTTTCCTTTTGGAAATCACTTCCAAGATCT